CAGCAAAAACACATTAAAAGATGAGGAAAAAAAGTATTTATACGTTTTTCAAAATCTTAAGTCAGAAGACGAAATTACGTGTGGTTTTGCAAACATAAAAAGTGAACCTCTTTTTTTAAATTCTGGAGGTTGCGCACAGATATGATGGCTGCCTTTGGCAGAATTCAAATGAGCGATTTTAATCTAGATTAATTCCAAAATTACAGTGAGATTAATCTAGGTTAAAAACATTTCTCCACCACTAATAAAAAATAAATATTAGAATATCTGCAAAAAATGCTTATAGAAATTTATGGTTGTTATTTTTTTTTGCCTACTTCTGCTGTTAAATTTACTGAAAGCATCAACAGGTACAGGAACAGTCATTAGAGAGAAAGACAGAAAAGCTTCAAAGCATTTTGGACAATTTTAGGTTGGAAGTTTAAATTGGATCTAAAACTGAATCAGGTTAAGATGCAAAAGGGTTATTTTATTCAAACAAAATCAAACATTGGTAATGTTATGTATTGCTTTGATGCCACTATGGGATAAACCCACATTTTCTGTGCTCTGTTTTTTAATTTTTTTTTTTTTTTTTGCCTTCATATTATTTTGTCCCCACAACTTTCCTGAGCTATATCTTTTTCTTTGCTCAGATCCTGGCAGTAATAAATAAATAAAGGTCCATCCAGTTTGCCAAATACGTTCCCGGCAGGCAGGGTCTGAATCCATACTAGATGAACTATCAGTCGTACAAATACTTCAGTAATCCTTACTTTGTGTTGCATGATAATTTGCCAAGCTTAAATACTAATAGCAGTTTATGAGCAGTTAAATGGAGCTTTACTACCTTTGATGCATGAATTCAGTCTCAACAAGAACTATTTCTAATTTAGGTTCAAAAAGGCTGAATTTGATTATTCTTGGGCTGCAACTTACAATTATTTTGTAATTTATTAATCTGTGGACTATTTTTCCAATGAATTGATTAATATTCAGGCAGCCAAAGGTTCCATAGAGAAATTTTTTTATGAAATTAAACCATGTGAAACTAAAACTTTTCCAATTGAGGAGTTCTGGATAGATCCTATTGACAGACGGAAAAGTTTTTCTTCTTAAATGCAAAATATAGAGTTTATTATTTTTTACAATTTTGGTATAATTTCTGCTCAAGCTGGGTCGCTCTGTTAGCTAAAGACAAGTTATAGAGTCTCTACACTTCAGTTAATGATTAGTGGATTACTAGTTTAGTTGATGATTATTTCAATAATCGATTAATCCGATTAATTGTTTCAGCCCTAGATTATTCCTACTTTAACATATCACTTAACACAAAAATCTGATTAAATGCAATTATGTGCTGAAATCCATTCATTCAATGTTTTATAGCAAGAGAGGTTAAAAAGATGATAGTTTGTAACAAAAAATGAAATGTAACGAATCTTTTGTGTTTAAATTAGGTATTATTAGCTGATATTATGATCTTGTTATGATCTTGAGTCAAATGCACTCGTTTATTCACTAATTTTTTCTCTTTAGACAAACTATATCAGGTCTGACTGAATAACTTTCTCTCACTCAGGAAATCCCCAAGACTCCAGATTTTGCTCCATCTCGCACCTTTTATCTTTACACAGTAAACCAGCTGCCTACAGCCAGAATGCTGCTGCAGAACTGCTACAAGGTAAGACTTTAACCTGGACTGTTGTAACACAGAGAGCTTCCTCTCAGTGTTTTCTATGTTCCGTACTTGATCTGTCTGCAGAAATACCACATTTGTTGTCATAATAAAAAAAAGGTCAATTTTAAAATGAACATTGACAGAGAACACTCAAAATTTGACTGCCATTTATACATAAAAGATATGTAGTTTTCTGTTTTTACTGCTTTTGCCTTTAATTCCATCCTGCCATGTTTTTTCTGCAGACCGTGGCGAACCTCATAGAGCGACGCCTGTTTGAGACCAAAGAAAACAAGTAGGTTATTTTTTTTTTTTATTTTTTTTTTATAGATTAAGCCATAGATATCCATAATACAGGTGGCTTCTTGTCACAGGTAAGCTTTGTGGTGGACTCCGTGGTACCTTAAGTAAGAGAGTTAGCATGAACACAACACTCTTGTCCCGTTCTTGACAGATTTACTAACTGGTTTCTTACAAACCTCTTTGGTGTGGCTATAATTCTGGATGCTTGAACATTTTTGAAATTGTAGATTATCTTTTTGAAAAACAACTGAAACTTGCATTATAGTTGTGTTGGTTTTATTGAGACCAATAATGATTTGATGATAACAAATCTTTTGTCTAAATCACAATCTTGCAAAAATAGTTTGGAAGAGGGATCCCTGAAGAACACGGTGTCACACAATGTCAGGGATAAAAGAAGAGAAAATGTTATAAATGTGTGTAGATAATGTATTTTAATTAGGCTACCAAACATTTGTTTGCATCCAAAATGAAAGTTTGTTTCTTTATTATATATGTGTGCTTTGTGTATAACTTTTTTTGTATCTGAATGAATGAAATATTATTGAATATTTTGTTCTGTACAAAGCTGAATGTGCTGACAACAAAATCACACACAAATCTGCAATTGAAATCAAATTAATTAACCAATGGAGGACTGGATCTGGAGTCGCACACAAAATTAAAGTTGAAAAACACCACAGGCAGATCCAACTTTGATGTAACGCCGTTAAAAACAGTTAAAAATGAGGTTCAGTTTTGTGTGTGACCTCCACATGCCTGTATGACCTCACTACAATCCCTGGGCATGTTCCTGATGAGGTGGCTGATGGTCTCCTGGGGGAACTTCCCTTAAGATCTGGACTAAAGCATCTGCCAACTCCTGGACAATCTGCACAATGTGACGTTGGTGGATGGATCAAGACATGATGTCTCAGATTTGCTCGTTCCGATTCAGGTCTGGGGAACGGGTGGACAAGTCCAAAGCTTTAATCCCTTCATCTTGGAGGAACTGCTTACACACTCCAGCCACATGAGGTCTAGGAACTCAGGGCCAATCACACCAGCATATGGTCTCACAAGGGGTCTGAGGATCTCATTACGGTACCTAATGGCGGTCATGCTATCTCTGGCGAGCACATGAAGGGCTGTACAGACTTCCAAAGAAATACCACCCTATACCATTACTGAACCACTGCTAAACCGGTCATGCTGAAGGATGCTACAGGAAGTAGATCACTCTCCACTGTGTCTCCAGACTCTGTCACGTCTGTAACATGTGGTCAGTGTTAACCTGCTTTCATCTGTGAAGAGCACTGGGCGCCAGCAGCAAATTTGCCAATCCTGGTGTCTAGTGCCTTTTATGGTGTTGGGCTGTGAAAACAACCTCCATCTGTGGACGTCAGGCCCTCATACCATCCTTGGAGAGTTGGTTTCTAACCGTCTGTGCTGAAACATGCACATTTGTAGACTGCTGGAGGTCACTTTGCAGGGCTCTGGCAGTGCTGCTCCTGTTCCTCCTTGCACAAAGGCAGAAGTCGTGGTCCTGATGCTGGGTTGTTGCCTTCCTACATCCTCCTCCATGTCTCCTGGTGTACTGGGCTGTCTCTTGGTAGCGCCTTCAGTCTCTGGACAATTCACTGACAGACAACAAACCTTGCCACAGCCCGCATTGATGTGCCATCCTGGATGAGCTGCACTACCTGAGCCACTTGTGTGGGTTAAAGAGTCTGTCTCTTGTTACCAGGAGTAGGAAAGAACCACCAACATTCAAAAGTGACCCAAACATCATCCAGAAAGCATAGGTACTGAGAAGTGGTCTGTGGTCCCCACCTGCAGAATCACTCCTCTGTTGAGTGTCTTTCTAATTGCCAATAAATTCCACCTGCTGTCTATTCGATCTGCACAACATGAAATGTGAAATTGATCATCAATCAGTCTTTCTTCCTAACTGGACAGTTTTTTACAGAAGTTTAATTTAATTGAAGTTGTATTGTGTTTTTTTACGTTTTCCTGTATTTTTTTTGAGCAGTCTATATACTTAAGTTATATAAGCAGTATATCCATGTAGATTTTTTTAACACACATGCAGGAATGTGTATTTATATATTAAGAATTATGACAAACAAAACTTTTATAAAAAAAAAACTTGAAAATTGAAGTTATAAACCAAATACATTCACCGTTAAAACACGTTACAAGTGAGCAGGCTGCCTGTGACAAGATGGCAGCTGGGGACCTTTATTATAGATATCTATGGTTATAGCTCTTGTCTCCTTGTGGCTGACTGCTTTGATGTCGGGTTTCCAGGCGCCTGTTGGAGAAATCTCAACGAATTGAAGCCATCCTGGCGTCTCTGCAGGCCAGTGGGGCAGAGCCGGAACAGCTGAGCGAAGTCGAAGAGATGATCTCTGCTCCAGAGAAACAACAGCTGGACGTCTTAAGGCTTCACGTAAACAAGTAAGAAGACAAAACTTAAAGCTCAGGTTTTCAACTTTCCACAAAACCGCTAATGTTTCTGCGTTTCTGTTTTTCCAGGTTAGATTCAGCAGAGAATCAAGTAGATGAAACCATCTTTATCTTGGAGTCCTACATCAGTTCTACAGCTAAAAGTTAAGATTTAAGTGTTACAGTTTATACAAAATGTTTCTTATTTTAGGATTTGTTTCTTTAGTGTTTGTTGAATTGACATGAAGATTGTTTTCATTGTTTTTATTGCATCAATCAGCACTGAATAAATGGGTCATATTGCCTCTTTTCAGCTGTGTTTTATTCTGTACAAAAAAAATCATCTGTTCAGATGGTTTAAAGTATGAAATCATGAACAACTTCTGCAAATTAAATAAAATAACTGTAGTTTGATATATTTTGCTTAAAATAAAAAAAGGGTCATTCACACAATTGCCCCTCTGACCCTGGAAATCTCAGGCAGTGCATTTCCGTTGGACCCTTGTGAATCTGTCTTTTGGTCCTGGAGATCCCCGTTTCAGCATTCGAAATTGAACATCATGTGGCCTGTTTTTAGGCTGGTTTTGCTATTCTGGTCGCCTTCTTTTTATCAAAACTCTCAGTCTTCATGGTTTTCATCTTCTCTGTGTTTATGTGTGAAGAATCCCAGCTTCAATAAGAAGAAAACAGCTAAGGTTAATATGGTCTGTAACAAATGTGCTTAATTTTTTAGAGATTTATTCTGTTACCTTCCACAGTATAAATATAATAAGCGCTAGCAGCAGCAAACCACCTATAACGCTGCCGATCAGAATCCAGAGTGAAATGGGAATCGCTCGGCCCTTCAGCACCTCCAACACAGTCTGGAAAAATAAAATGTGGAGGAAACGATAAGAGGAGATAACAGTGCATCGCACAAGTATCCATTACCCCATTACAAGCTTGACAGTTTTTCTCCTTACAACAACATTTTAAAATTGGTGTGTTTTGTAGAAAACATGCTAAGGATGTGGTACATTACTGAAGATGGAAAATGATTTTAAAAGTCATAAAATATAGTGTTATTTGCTTCTTTGTCTCATTGGTGTGTTTCAGATTATCGAACAAATGTTTAAATCAAAAAAAAAAAAAAACGGTTTTGTGGCACTTGTTGGTAACAACTTACATCAAGTCTTTGTAAAATTAGTTTTATTCAGTTATATTACAGGGTTTAAAGCAATTGCTTGCTTAATGCAACATCGCTATATCAAATTTAATCTGAACTTTGACTAGGCCACTACAAAAAAGTATATATATATATTTTTTTTTGAAGCCTTTAGAGGTGGATTAAGATCAAAAACTGATGGCTGGACATTGTCCTTCAGGATTTTCCTCAAGAGACCCGAATCATGGTTGAAGAAGCCAAACAGCATGAAACTAAAGTGGATAAACACATTGATTTGGACTTTTATTGTAATCACAACTGACTGCCTGAACACAGTCTATGATAGGATACCATCTTTCAAGTGTAATACCATCTTAAACTGCAATGGACACACCTGGTGTATATTTTAGTGGCTGAGATCTGGGGCTCACAGAGTGTGGTAGGGACAGTGTACAGATGTACAGAAATAAAAGCATCAGGAATATATAGGTACCTTGAAATCCCTACTTCTAAAATTTTCAGCTCAAGTGTAACAATTGTATATTAACCTGAGGACTCTTTATTGTGTATAGGAAGATTAGTGCAGCTCAGAACAGGTGTAAAATAAACCTAAGATGCTGCAAATGGGTGAATCTAAAATGAGAAGAGCAACAACAGAATAGTTTAGAATAAAGTGTATTCATGTTAAAATGACCCATATAAGCCCAAACCTATATGTAAGTGATGATCAATGGAATTAGTTAAAGTTATGTTCAGAGATGTTTTCTATCCAGTTTAATGAAGTCAATTTCTGGTTTCCGCATTAAGCTGACAGGGTCACCTAATTGTTTTATTTTACTTCTACTTCAGTTGTCCACAACATTGTGCTCTTTTATGAGATAAAAGGACAACAGATTACAGTAAAGTTTGTTTGACAGGATGATAAGCTGAAAGGTTTAAGTGGTCTGAATACTTAAAAATAAAGTCAAATATGTCGTTTCTGTGTTGCTGTTAAACTGTGCAGCCTTACCTCCCCCGGGACTGTTCCTATCCCCAGAGTGATGAGGTTAGGATCCTGAGCTGACAGGCTGTAGGCACCAATTATCTTCACAGACTTATATTTGACCTGCAGATATGCATGAAGGATGAGCAGTCTTTACATTATTCAAGGAGTTTAATCTTATATGTGATGGTTGGTTAACTCACTTTTCTGAAAAAGTCATCATGAACTCTGCGGCTGATCCGTATAATAGCCTGCTGGCCGAGCTGTTTCACCTCACAGACAACTTCTGTGCACCATGAGCTACTGCAGTTCTGCACATAGAAAAACAACTACTATTAACATCTGATTAGAGCTTCTCAATGTTTATTTCTAAAACAAAGGATCTCACCAGTATTTCATCACGCATCATGTCCTCGGGGTGAAGGGGACGGACGTCTCTCTGTCTGGATTTTAGCTGGGTCACATCACTCAGCATGCTGCACTTTATTCCTGTGGCCTGAAGGGCAACTTAAAAAATTAACATCTTTCAAAATTCATAAATATAAAAAGAAATCACTATCCCCACTCACGTTGTATGTGAAGACTTCCGTTACGGTCATGAAGACCACATCTTCTGCAGCCACAGAGGGCAGAAGCACACGCAGCTCCAGATTACTTAGAGAGTAACAACCAATATTAAGCAGCTGCGAAAACAAAATAAGATGTTTTAGTTCAACTTGTTCACTTGTGATAAAATAATTTTTTGCCTAGCATTTTACTGTCACTGTCGCAAGTAAAGAGCAATGAAATGAACTCTGCATTTAACCCAACCCCTTGGGGAGCAGTGGGCTTCCATTGTGCGGTGCATGGGGAGCAGTGGGGTTGTTTTAGTGTCTGACCATTTTTTAGTGAACTGTCTATTTAATTGCTCAACTCAAATGTTTGCTGTTTCTAATAATAAATCAAATAAGCGAAGTGATAAAAATCAAGAAATCTTTAGAATGTCATTTTGCAGCCGAAATATTTATTATCCCCTTATGCAGAGGACAAAACATCTCGACTGGTCAGCCAGGCCAACAATGACCCTAACGACTCCAATTACTAAGAGGTGCACCTGTTTTTTTTTTTTTTTTGCATGTTTTATAAGCCATAACAAGACTTTTGTTTGGGTCACTCTATAAACCTGGAACTCAAATGCAACTCCAGACATTTTGAATTGAGAAATCTTTCTGGATGGGAAGGGAAATGTCTTCAAGCTTGGAAAACAAAGTCCAGTGGTTTGTTTTTTTTTAAACTTTTTTGGAAAGCCAAAACATTTATTTCTATTGCTGGGCTTTATTTGGCAGCCCAACATAAAGGGGAACATCATTGTAAAGCGTAAAGAAAGTATAGTTTTTGTGTGTGTGAAAATATGAAAAATATTGCATGCATTTACTGTTTTCATATTCCATTGTGGTGAAAGCATTGAAGCAAACGCTTGGCTTTCAAAAGATTCTCACTGATTAGGCCATTTTGCACCATGTGCAGTTACTTTTAAAGAGCATACATAAAAGCCAAACTATTCAAATATGAGCTCAGACCAGAGTTCTCACTTTCACATGTTTTCTTTTGCTGGCACGGTTTGTGGTGTATTTAACATGAAATCCCAACAATACATTGAAGTGTATGACAAGACATGACAGAACCATTCAAGTTGAATTCTGCAAGAAGCTGATCTAATGTTACAAAGCAGGTTCTGGTTCACTTATAAAGCATGAGTAAGAACATAACAGTATTTCTGAAATGTAAGGAGTTTGTCTATCCATTTAGATTTAGAAATAACCAATTGTTCTACCATTCCTGTTTTTGTACTTAGATGGGAAGCTAGAGAGAACTCAGACATGCATTGGAAGAATAAGCAAACTTCAGCCCTGATCAAACCCAGGACCATCTTGCTGCAAGGCAATACTGCTGCATACGATGCTGAAATGATCTGTGCCAAAACGTAAAATTTGAGTTCAGTTTACCCTGATGTGTGTGTAGAACTCTGGGCCCATGGCCTCTGAAGCCGCCCGTGTGGGGTGGACCTCATAGCGGTTCAGGTTAGACTCACTGCACAAAACAACATAAAGTTAAACAGCTGGGGATTAATACTGATGACATACATTATACATTCATTTTATTCTGTGCACACACCTGCTTACAAAAACATCTGGCTCATACTGAACATAATTCACCAGCTGAACGCTGTTGTCCCCCAGAGTTTCTTCTCTCTCACTGCTTTCACTGTAAGACAAAAATTATATTAGTGCGTTTTGTTGTATTTGAAGATTATTTTTGGTATTTGAAAAGTCTGGATGTTTACCTGGTAGCATTGAGCTTCATTTGCACCCGATTATGTAAAACAGTGCAGCTGAACTCAAACTCCAACAAAAATTTTATCTAAAAACACAAAGGAAAACAGGCAGCTGAAGTGATACATCCTACATCATAGGCAAAGGGGTGGGAGAAGATCAGCTACCTTTGAATGAGAGCGAAACACTGGGTAGCTGATGTTACATGAGTGGCTGTTTGAGCCAAGAGCGGTACACTCGATCTTGAAGCTGGTATCCTCCTTTGTAAGAAGAAAAATGGAAATGATTACATTCAGGCATTGGATTGAAATGTGTTAGGGACATAAGAGCTGCTTACTTTGAAGCTGAGGCTAGAGAAGTGGAGGTTGCGTGAGTAGTGCAGCTTCAGGCTGGTGTTGTAGGCATTTTCCAGCCTGTTCTCGAGCTGCACTTCCACGGCCAGACGCCTACGAGGGCTGCGAATCACATAAGGTTTCTGCCTGTGTGAGAGAACATGATTCACTCAGTTTTTACTCCCAGAGCATTATTACCTTTACTGGTTCTAGAGAATTAAAGCAAAGTATCTGTTGTTACCTTGTCCCTGAGATGTCCATGTGTGCCTGCAAGACCAGATCTGTTGTGCAAACGTCATCTTCACCACAGTCTTTGAAAAACGGGATCTGGATAGAAGTTGTAGGAGGAGGAACGTTATTGATTTTATTTATTTATAAAAACAAAACAAACAAAAACAAAAAAAGGCAGAAAACTGCTGAAGCTAATTTTGTGTACTTACAAATTTCGTGACATTTCTCGGTGAGTCTTTGTCCAACACTGGACCCGTTGCTGTGTCATTGATCTTAAACTTTAGGAAGAAGCTGATTGGACGAATATAATCTGCTGTATCCTGTGTGGCAGACAGCGAAAGTTTAGCCAGAATAAGACAAGTACCTTTTTTATATTATCTTTATAAGGTACTTGTAAAAGAGTTGTTTATTTATTGCAGCTATAAAATGTATTAATAACGAGAGAATTAACAGAAGGGTTTAATTATCAGGTGGTTAAGTCCAGTGAGGAGAAAGTAGGATTAAGAAGTAAATATTCTGCTTTTGCTCCAACTTCATAAACTACAATTGGCTGACACTCTCATTTGCAGAACACTAACCCAGCTGGGATGTAAAGAATTGCATCTGTTTTTAAGAAATCTAGTAGCATTATGTTTTATTTTCTATTTTTTCACACTTAAAGTCGTAGAGAAATCATATTTAAATGTCAAATATTATATTTTGAGTCTCCCCCGTCATACATCTTTTATTTAGAGGAGGAAAGCTGGGATACAGATGTTTCGAAGAGGACGCCAGAAGCTTGGTTTGGTGTAAAAGGCTTACAGCCGTACATGTTTGAGCCCTTTCCTCAGAACGCTGCCAGTTCTGTTAGCTCTACGCCTGCCGAAGATACAGACGTCCATACCCATGAACACTGGGATGTAACTCAATTGTAAAGTAAATAAGGATTCTTATTTTTAATTTCAGCCGTTGCTTATATTAGCTGCAACATATGAATCAAGATGACCGAACACTTTTGTATTGACAGATGACCGTTGATATATGACTGGTCAAATTTAGCTGTAGAAGCTGATGTATAACTAACTGGCCTGCATAGGATAACGAAACCCCCCCCCCCCCGGTTTTTAGGCCGGGTTGTTTTTTAAACCGGAATTTTTTTAATATTTTTGGGCCATTTTCGCTTGTTAAGGGTTCCTTTTTTTTGCTTTTTTAGGCCGGATTGTTTTGTTTTTTAATTTTGTTTTCCTTCCACTTTTTTTAAAAAAAAAAGCTAAAGTCTAATCAGAAAACAATATTCACTCTAAAATCAGTTTGGTGATAGAAGGCCTATGACCATATGAGAGGACCCATCAGTGAACAGAGGACCAAAACAAATATGTTTTCTTTTAATTCCTACTTGGAAGGTTAAGCAACAAAGCTTTTGCTTTCTCTGAGCAATCCTTACCCTTTTAAATTGAATAGTCATTCTACTAGGGGGAACAAATCCTGAGTTTTATATATTTAACAAATTTAAAGCATTTATGGTATTTAAGAATAAAGCTGAAGGACCCAAGTATCACACCTTGTGGAATGCCATATATAGAATAGAAACTTGTTAGAACCTTAAAACCACTTAGAGCAGCAAAAAAATAAATAAAAAAATCTACCAGCCATGGATTATAACCAATCCAGGCAGCACCACACATGTCCACAAAATGCTCTAAATAAGAAAATGTTATTCAGAGCATTAAAAAAGCTGTTAAATCTGAGTGAAAAAAAGATCACATGATCTAATGAATGTGTAGGAAAAAAAAGCATAAAAATAACATTTTGTGATATTCAGACACTAAAATCCAGATCCAATAACTTCAACTGAACAATTCTCAGTTTTCTGTAAGATGTTTTTAAATCAGAGTATTTTGGAAAGAAGGGGGGCCTTAGGAACAAGTCTAATAATGGGGAACACTTTGGATTCATGCTATTTTTTTTAAATCAGTGTAGTGCTGTATGTGTTTAAACAGCTACTCACATATACATGGAAAGGAAGTTTGTAACATCGAGTTTTTCTTGTTTGCACTCGTAGTGAAAGCTGAGTTTGTCGGTGGGAGCTCTCATCAAACAGAGCTCTCGCTGAAAACTTCCTGTCATCCAGCATGGCTGTTACCCAAAGAGCTAAAAAAAACAAACATGAATAAAAAAGATGAGAGCTGAAAAAAATAAACTTTTCTTTCTTTTTAGATTAATCTGACATAATTTTTCATCATTCATAAAATATTAACCTAAAGAGCATTGTTCGATGTTAAGACTTGGATTAAAAGTTTACAGAAATTATCACATTTGACTTTTTAATGAATGTAACTAATCCAACTTTTCTTAAAAAGCAGAAATCACAATTTTAGGTTTTTTTTTATTTCACTATCACCTTAGCATAGGACACATTTTCCCTTCTAAGCAAATGAACTTTAAAAAATAGATTCTGAACAAAACAACAGTTTAATAATAATATTGTAATTTATTATGTTATCTAACAGATTTTTTCAGGGTATTCTAATGTCTTTAAGTAAAATGCAATACCAAAACTTTTGCTAAGTGATCCAGGTGAGCGGGAAATGGCCGTGAAACAAGCTGTGGCGTTGAGGCAGGCCGACTCTCTGCCGCCCCTCTGACAGGTCTTCTGAATGACATTGATGGAGTGTGGCTGGAAGGACAAACTAACATTGATCTGGACGATGCTTCGGGAGCTAGAAAAGAAGCAATAAGAAACATTTACCAATCCCCTTAAAAAAGTGTAAGCAGCTTGTAAAGCTGTTTTATTGTGTCACATTGTCATTGCTTACCTGAGCAGCACAGCTTTGCCCTGAGCTCCCACTGCTAAATCTATCAGGTCATCACCGTCCAGGTCCAACTGTGCACTCACACTACGGCCAAAATATTGCAGAGATGAGGAGAGGGACGACCCTAATATATGCTGGGAGGATGAAAGAAAATGAAAATACATACTTGGTTTTAGAAGCAAAGTACTGCAGAAAAAAATTGAGCTGTTTTAAAATTCCCTTTATGTTCTGTTTGGGGTGAGCCACACCTTGTAAATTTTCACGGAAGATTTCTCAGTTTTCTTAACATTTTTATCATAGTCTTAGACTTTCATCAAAAAAAAAAGAAAAAAGAATTTACATTTTTAAGAAGAATCTTAATCGGTGTTAGGCTATCTAAATCTGTTTGTCAGGTATATAAAAGCATTCTTTATTATAGGTGATTTTTTTGTTGATGCATACCACAAAACAAAGCAGAGATCCAATTTGTATTTTTTTCTTTTTTTTTTTTTTTGGCCCCAAAGAATATTTGTTTTTGGAGCAATAGCTGAAAATACACAAACATAATTCATGAAAAATGTCAAGAAATTAAATGTATACGACATAGAACCTTGCCTCTTTATACGCCATTGCCCAAAAAAATGTTGAAAGGAAAGCATGTCAGGTTAAGAAAATAATAAAATAGTAGGAAGAGCAGCTTTTACTCTTGTTAGCCTGGAAATATAGCATACAGTAGATAATCAGTTAAAAAATGGTACTTCACGCAGGTTCTGTGGCAGTTATCTTTTCAAATTTTTTTTTTCCTTTTTTTCTTAGCTATGTGGTTCTCATATACAGTAGGTTTCAGTCTATTAAAATACTGACAGGTACAAAGACTGAACAGCAAATATGCTGAAAAGCAGCTAAATTCCATTAAAAGACCTTCATAAACTCTGGGAAACTATCAAGACTACAATATTTTAACATGCATCCTTTGCAAAGTGATCTACCTGTTTTTTATCATGGAGGATGTAAATATCGTGCCCATGGTAGACATAAATCGCCCCTCTATGCTCGTCCTCCAGCGGAGCTCCAACCACCAGGTCAGTAAAGCCATCATGGTTTAGGTCTGGAGCAGCAGCCATTGCATAACCAAACCTGGCATCCTGGGATTTCTCTTCTGATTTCAGAGTACCATTAGATATAAATATTCCCTCCTAAAAAAACAAAATAAGAATAGACGGGGGAAAAAAATAATTATTTTAAGAAATAGAATATATCTTTTTTTGTTATAAATGCATGTTTAGTGATTTGTTACCCCATTGAGGGTGTAGATGTAGACTTTGCCAGCTTCCTTGTTTCCAGAGCCGAGATACATGGGAGCAGCAACCAGGAGAACATCAGTGATGCCGTCTTTATCGATATCTAACCCACACACTTCACTTCCATAGTAGGATCCAATCTAAAGACAGAAGCGTGTTATTTCATCCCTAGCTCCAGTAGGTGGAGCAGTTGCAGTGTTTGAAATATTTGTTTATGTGAGAGAGAGACTCATTAAAAGGAACTGTTACCTGTTCTCCATTCAACGCTTGTACGATGTCAACATAACCATCTTCATGAAGTTCAAATAAAATGACTTTCCCTTTGTGTTTAAATCGAGGGGCTCCTGCTACGTACAGCCTCCTCCAGTCACCGATGACCACAGATGACACTGTGTAACCTGAAAGCAAAATACATATCAGAAAACGCCCAAACAGATTCATGGAGAAGTAAAACTGGTCTTTTCAAACTCTTTTTTTTTTCTGTAGTCAACATTCAATAAAAGGAAGATGAATGATTAACATGGTAACTGAATTTGGGTCATATTTCTGCTTTATTTTGATGCAAATGAAAATATGATTTATACATTTTAAAAAGGATTGAAAAAAGATGCATTTTTATAAGATTGCCTAGTGGATGATATGCTCTACTTTAAATTTGTTACCTCCTTAATCCTCTAAAATAAATCTAAAAATCTTCTCATTCTGCTTCACATGAGACAAATCTATAGCACCAGAGACAAATGTCATAATCTCAGATGCTTAAATACAGATATTCTAAATTAAAATGACTGTGGTTCTTAAACGGTATAAAAAAGTATTTTCCTAATGTTTTTAATGGAACAGATGTGCATAACCTGCAGTTGTGGACTGGGTAGTTTTGTGTTTATGGAGAGCTAAACTGGCCGTAACACCTATAAATTTAAACATTAAATGATGTTTATATTTCTCTTCTCTTTGTCGAGTTCAGTTACACAATTGAACTTTATTGTTTCATTTCAGCTTCTTCCAGGTATGTTTGCTGTGTAAAAGCAGGAATTCTTTACTTTAATTGATTTATAGGTTACATTAAAACACCAGACTGCAAAATTCTCAAGAAAGAAAAAAAACCACAACAGATTTCTGTTCAAGGTTCTATGGGTTTAAGACTATTAGACCTATTGGCTAAAAAGCTTAAATGGTGTTTATCACTAGCGAAGTAAGAGATGGTGATCTTGTTTTCTCAAAGAATTGATCCAAACTGTAGGAAACACAATGAATAAGGATGAGGTCTTTAATGAATCTCTGAGGCACATCACAGCCCTGAAGGGGATGCAGCCATAGATGAATAAGACCATGAAAAAAAACTTTATGCTCTTGCTAAGAGCAGGAAAACAACACTAAAGAAAACTCCTAAAGCTTCTAAAATACCAATTTCTGTGCTAAGTCTAGGTTTAAAATTAGACTTTGTCTTTTTAAACGTGCTGTCTGAGTCAATATGTGGTAACAGTTTTTCAGGAACGATTTTCTCTAACAGCTTAGAAATAAAAGGTAATATTAGCCTGAAGACAGATGAAACACCGAAGGCAAGCTTTCTATTTTTGATGAGCTGCTCTCTGAGGCATGTATGTAGGCAGGTGCAAGACAACATGTCTCACTTAATCGATTAAGCATACAACACAAGGTCTGGACCCTTTTCAATGCTGAAACTGATGTATTATTTCTGTTAAGGAGAAAAGGCTTCCTATCTCAGATTCTACAAAATAAAATAAAAATGAAAAAACATCTAATAGTTGATATCTTCCATCCATCCATCTTTTCCCACTAATTCCATCAGGGTGGTGGTGGGGCCGGTGCCTATCCCCGGCAGCCTATGGGCGAGAGGCGGGTTACACCCTGGACAGGTCGCCAGTCTGTGTCAGGGCAACACAACCGTGCACACACACACTCACACCTAAGAACAATTCAGATATGTTTTTGGACTGTGGGAGGAAGCCGGGGTACCCGGAGAGAACCCACGCATGTACAGGGAAAACCCCAAGCCAGGAATAGAACCCAGAACAGTCTTCATGCAAGTTAATACTGCTACCCACTGCTCTACCATGCAGCCCATAATAGACATCTGTCATTTGAAAGAAAATAAAAATATAAAAAAAACATCTAATAGTAGATATCTTCCATCCATCCATCTTTTCCCACTAATTCCATCAGGGTGGTGGTATATATATATATATATATCTTTTTCAACACAAAAAACAAACTGGTCATGCTTGCTGAGGAAATGTTTGTACCTAAATAGGCAGCATGATTTTTGAGCTCCAATGGAAATTCGCTTTCAAAGGCTTCTCTCGGTGGCACAATCACTCCATTGGCCCCTTCCTTCAGCACTCCTCCGTCCCAGTCATAGGCACCCACAATCCCAAACAGAATGCCATCCTGAGGAGTTCAGATTAAATAGACAGCTCAGTTTACATTTAGCACACATCAACAAATCTAGGTCATCAAGGTCTTACATCCAGTGTGTGCGTGGAGAAGCCAATCTGAGACATCTCCATGTGGAACGTGCTCTGGTTGTAGCCCAAGGTACCTAAAGGAGGACAGCATGTCAGATCTCTTGTTTCTCACCTTTCTTTACTCATATCCTCCTCCCTTCCTCTTCCTTGTTCTGCCTCTCAGGATCTGATCTTTAACACCTTCAAAGGATGATGGTGGCAGACATTTCCTTTCCTCCTATCCCTTCCTCTTTGTTTTTCCTGAACATTTAAGGGTGGCATCAGTTTTCAAAAGCTTTCCTCCCAAATTTCTTCTACTACTATAATACCTGCTACCAGCTATGACTTTTCAGTTTTTGTTACTCAATATTCTCTCCAAATAATGCTAGACTACACTTGGCAACTTTTATAGGCAATTATTTTTTGCAACATGATAAATATTGTGTCTAAATTATGAGTAAATGGATATGCTGACTTAGATTATGGTGGTAAAAGCGGCAGCTATATCCTATGTGGATGGTGAAAAAATGTAATATTTCTCTACAAAATAAAACTAAGAAGGCTCACACTGATTAAGATTCATTGTTCTTAGAGCTACTGTTCCTTTCTTTGTAACAGCGTTCAAAGTTAACTGATGCAGGAATTTAAAAAAAGTGGCATTTAAATTACTTTAGTGATGCATTATTTTAAAAGTTACAACATATTTTCATTAAGAGTAAACCTAATATACTTTTCTCAAGTTACTATTTTCTATATAATGCAAGGGAGAGATGATATCAGGTAAACAAGCATTTGTGATACTGCTGCTATACTGACAATATCAGTTACAGTTATCCACTGTGGCCTTTAGTTCCCAACCTTCAGCCATGCAGCTTACTTCACTCTTATTTAACCTCTTATCACATCTTCCTCCTATCTTTCAATTTTGTAAAATTTTATCTATCTTACTCTTATTTCTTATCCTGGCAACCTCCTAGTGACATCCGGGGCCTTTGCAAACATGTTGCACAGTATTTTAGGTAACTTATATTGCTTGTAGCTTTTGGATGTGGTGTATGGGCAATTGCCCAGAGTTGCACTAAAAAGTAGCATGACACAGACAAAATAATAGATATATTTTGAACTTATTTTTACATTTGTTTTTCATTGCTTCTATGCATGTGCAGTCAATAAGGGAATAGGTTAGGGAGTAGGTGCCCCCTGTCTACTGCTGAGAGTCCGGTAGGTTATATGTTTAAGGAGGGAGGGGAGATCCCTGATTCAGGTCCAGCATCTCAGATAACTTCCTGCATTTTATACGGTCGATTGGGAGCGGAAGTAAAAGATCAAAGCTCAGAGCTTCATTTGTGCATGGAGCACCAGTGCTGAACAGCACTAACTTTTGTCTGCCTCTATAACACTATCACCTTCCAGAGTGAAGATCCGATCTCCGAGAGCATCCACAATGTCATTCAGTGCAGCTTCATCAGTCACATTAAAAAAGTACTTTTCGTCCGGGTCACTGGCGATGTATTTGATCTCATTAATAAAAGTCTCTGGGTCCTGCTGTTTACGGATGTAATATCCCAGAACCTGAATGGAAGAAAAGCAAAGACATGAGAGAATAAAACCATTAATACAAAAAATTGCAGTAAATGCAAAAAAAAAAAAGCCTAAATTTAAATATCCACATCCTTCATCCACTTTTTTTACCGTATTTTTATTTTTTATGTGTGCGTGTGCTACTCTTTTATTCTGTGTCCCCATGAAAAAGCATGGGTCCCACCTTGGCCCCCTGGTAAATTTAGTCTAGCACCACCACTGACGGTTGCACATTAACTGTAAAACACAAAGAGAAACCTGAAAAATAAGGCTGATTCCAAAATCCACCACAGAATCATTGGCTTGTGGCTTAATGCCTGAAGTACAAATGAGCAAATTCCATAGGAGAAACCAAACCCAAGAATATTTCCCTATATTCTGGCTGCCAAGCAAACTAAGGAAATCCTCTGTTTTTAAAGGGTAGGGGGTGTAGCAGGGTGTACTGTATCATGTAAGGAGTTATTTTCATATATATCTACACTAAGATCACATAGAAAAAGTCTAGGGGGGGGCAACCATCCTCAATGGATTTTTAAAGTTTGACAAAAAATGAAATAAAACTAAAAAAAGGGTAATGGCAACTGTAATTATTTGGCATTTGAAAATAAAAGCTGCATACCATTATGAAACAGTGGTCTTAAAGTAACTAAATATGATTAAGTAAATGCCAAAAACGGTTGCGTTATTTTTTAAGTGTACAAAACTCTTTCGGCTCAACAAATACTTTTTGTATTAGTTTCTGATCATCCAACCATAATAATTAATTTTATTTAAATGAAACTCGGCTTAATTCAATTCAGTTCAATTCAGCTCTCAACACATGGCATCTTAAGGCAACTTTGAAAGAAAATTCAATCAAATCATACAGATAAAAAATGGTTGTAGACATCTGCTTGCATTGTGGCATTGACTCTTCAGCAATCTATTACACTAAGCATGTATTCTCCAGTCCAAAGAAAAAAAAAAAAAAACTCTGTTTAACAGGAAGAAACCTCCAGCAGAATCAGGCTATTAATATATGAAAGAAATGCTTCCCTACAATTTGTGGTTATTTCTTATATATACATAGGAATATAGTTTCTGCACTTCCATTGCCATTTATGGTCTCGCTATGGAAGGGCAAGCCTAATAAATATTTCAATCATGTTACAAGAAATGAGAAGTGGGATGATTTTCCTATAAAAAGCACCAAACTGCTGAGCGTGCCATCCTGGGTAGTAAGATGTGTTCTGTGTACATGCAGAAAGACAATAAGCATCCAGAATAGTTTTTTTTTAAAACTGAATCGTTGAATTCCTGGATTGACAAATATGCTTTTCTATAAATCTATATTTATTATGATTGTGACAATGGCAAATATGATAATAAAACATATTCTACAGATAAATCCTTAAAGGCACTTTCATTCATTAAAACCTGAAGCATTCTTATGCATTTGCTGCCAGAACCAATAACTGTTTTTTTTTACCATTACTGAGAAAAAAAGGAAAAACAACAGATCCTAATTGGGGTTAATACAAATAAAGTACAAAGAAAAAAATAAAACACTTGAAAGTGTAATTCAGACCTATACATCATATAAAGTCCTGCTTAAGTAAGACTTATCTTTGTGCTGTTTTCACATATTGATTAGTTTGATTCAACACCCTAAAAAAAAGAGAGAGTATATAAAGGTAACTAAGCCATCTGATTATGAGAAGTTCTGTTTGATTTATACAAATAAAACATGCTTAATGCTTTTCAGAGTAAATAGTTTTTTTATATCAGGAAAGATGTAAAAAGCAAACTATTGGAATCATTTCTTATGTCTTTGTTGCTTCTTTATTTATGTATATCTTAATGTTTTCCATTTGTTTAAAGACGTTTATTTTCGCTTCAGTTGTTCAGAACTTGATGGGAAATGATGCTTTGCTATGTTCTTATGCTCAAAAGTACAGTTAAAAACTGTAAAGTTTCATCCTGGGTCTCTCCTCTAAGATGTAACGACTAGCTGACCAGCTGTGTACAGCCCTCAAAGAGGTGTGCACAACCGCTTTGAGCACGCTAAGTAGGGGGAGTGGACAGAAGGCAGATAGACCTAGATTCATTCCAAAAATAAGAAAGCATCTTATTTAATCACATATTCAAATAAATTATTATTTGGATTAATAAATCTGCAAGAAACCCCTTCAGCTTCTGTCTCTGCATTTGGGTTCGCTGCAAACCTCCACCCAACCTAACATATTACATGTGCAGGTATTCAAATTGAATACTATTGGGGCTTTCTGTTATTAAAATGCGAAAGTGATCATATTAACCTCTTGACATCCATGCTTGCAAGTTGTTCATACATATATATATTGGGATGTAAAGGGAGAAGAAGTAGATAAGGTTGAGGGGTGCCCACCGCCCGCCACTGTTCACAGTTCATTTTTGGTCACCCCCAAATTAGCCTTATTTTTTTCCAAATGGTTTAATTCTTTCCTCGGATCTTCCACCCAGAACTCACATAGGTCTACCAGACTGATAAAGACAAAGCAGCTTCACCTCTTAATCCCTTCTCCACTCTTTCTAATGATCAGAATGTATTCCAGGATAATAAAAAAAATTGCAAAGCATTAAACTGGAAAATATTAGTTCACCTATAATCTTAAGTTTATCTGCTTTTCCATTATGTGAAAGCTCTCTTGCTTCTCTTGTCTGATGAGGAGGGGTCCCACCACTCGATACAGCACCTACTCATTTTGCTTTTGTGTGCAGCACCAATGGGTTGGGTGGAGTTGGACAGGAAGAGCTTTTTGTTCCCAGCTGGCTATTTCGGTGGGCCCAAAGGGTTCATTTGGTAATTAGGCAGTTATTTTGGGAGAGTTGTGGTGATATTCTGTGGTTGCTCCTGGGTGTTTACAGAGACCATACCACATTTGCACAATATGGGAGGAATGTAAATGTTGCTTTTCACCCTCTAAAATATACTGAATGTCGGTTGTTTGTGTGGTTTTAACAATTATACTACTAAACAAGGTAATACAAAAAAAAGCTGTAAAATCAACAGAAAGGAATTGAACCATTGAGGGCTGCAGCGTTAGGGGTCATATAGCACTCACAGCTATGGCGTATCTGGTGATGTTTCTGCTTTCACATTCATCCAGTGCTTCTGGAAGCTCGTCCCCGTCATGCGACTCCCCATCTGTGACCACAATCATCACCTTAGTGGCGCCCTCCCTCGCTCCACGATCAGCACTGAATGCCTCGGTGCTAAAAGAGACACAAACAGCGCCTTTAAAGCGGCTGAACATGCAAAACTATGATGGATTTATAGCAGGAAGAAGGAGAGAGGAAAATGCGGTTGTGAAAAGTGTGAAATGGAGGAAACCCAGGAGGATCCAGTAACTTGGGCTCTTACAAAGACAAAATATACGTCCTTTACGTGATAATATACAATGTCAAGGGTTTGTCTCAAGAGAACAGCCATCTAATAAAACATTGAAACTTTGGATTTGATTTCTCTGCCAGAATCAACCGAAGTTTTATGTGGAGCCTTTCAGATCTTTATTAACAGCCGAACACACTAACCCAGCTTCCAGTTAACTCACAGTGGTCACTGCATACAGCTTGCATGTGTCACTGCACACAGCAACCACATTTGTGCATTCCCTTGTAGTTTAGCTATAAACCCAAATGACAAATACACCGACGGCCTCATGCCACACCCTGTTTGTCTGCAAGAAACCTGTTCTCACTGGGACCTGGTTCAACAGTTGAATGGGGTTGGTAAGCCTCAGACCAGCACGAACAAACACACACGCAGACACTGCCTAGTCACCACTGGTGATCTCAGTCATTTTCAACTCTAACTGCAGCCCAGGCCTAAATATAACATTGTGGTCAGCCACAAGAAACTTGGAGTTAAAAACAACCGGTTCCCTGTGCAGCCTGCAAATAACAGAGGGTAAAAAGAGAGAGAAGAAAAACAGAAAAGAGAAAAATCGGTAGAAACTGAAGCAAGAAATAATTACGAAAACGTTCATGAGACAGTAAATAGATCCCACCCACGAAAGAGACAGAGGAGGTAGAAAGAGAAATCTAAAAATAAAATATTAAATACGCTTATCATGAAAACAACAAGGCAGAAAATAAAGAGGCACAATCGTTTTAATTAAATAAAAAGAATGTAGGTGGAAAGAAAGGAAAAATAAAATAAAATACTAAAAGGAGATGAAAGAACAGAGAAAGTAAATGGAGCTAATTGGGAGGCCTGGCTGGTTTTACAAGGCAGTTTATGGAGTCTCAACAGTGGTAATAACACAGCACAGGAGCCTGGGCGTGCTTTTGTTTGTGGGTGTCTGAGGGACCCTGAGACGGTCGGGTCAACAACATCTTCAATGGTTTATCCACTTGTAAGATGCTTTTTCATGTTTATTAAGCAATCAGCTTGTTAGCTTATACGCTTTACAAAATAACTGTAATAAATACGCTGTTAACATGTGCCCAAATGGGAGTGTAAAATATAAATGTTTTTTATCAAAGAGGGAGGAACACTATATTCATTATCAATGCTTACTTCACTTTATAATGTTTCACATGATATTTTTCACACTTGAATTTGAAAGGAAATGCCATTTATCTCAATCAATGGCTAAGGGGGTGTTGGTGTAGCGTCTGTGTGAACGTGAGCGCGCAGCAGTTTGGAAGCCGCATCTGCGCACTTCCATAGTTAGTCAAATTCTAGAACAATTATGATCTGTTTGCAATATGTATTTTTATATAACATTAGACTATATATATGCAGAACGTTTTATTGTAAGTGATAGTTTACAGAGCTGCACCAACAACTGAAGGAAAAAAGAAAGATGTCTCAAACAGTAAAAATGTAAAAGTAGTATCAATTAAAAAGAAAAGATGCATCTTTATTTGTAATACATATTAAAAACTGCCTGTCTAAAAGTATTTATTATTTTTAAAGTAGTAGATGAAAACGTCTTTATTGCATCACAGTAGTCAAACTCTTCTTTTTCATGGCTACAGAAGTCCTAGTTCATGTCATTTCAGATTTCATCTCATGTTTTCATCCGTCACTGATGGAGACAATTGTTTCTTTCTCCACTGATCTTTTTCCACACAAGCACTGCTAATATAGTGTTTGCTATAATGCAACCATTAAACCAGCCTCTCTGTGTCCTTATCTTTTTCTCCTGTCATTCTAGGGGAGTTTTGACCAACTCTTTTTTTGCAATCTAGCCTTAGTCCATTGATGTTTGTGGGCATTCTCTTCTAGAACAGCATTTTAGGTTAGAGAAATTTGGACTTTAAGTGAAATGCTGCAGAAACTGATTATTTTCAATTAAGGCTACAACAAGCTATTATTTTGCTAAGCGATTAATCTGTCGATAATTGTTTGGATTAATGTATTAAAAATCGGATAGCAAAATGTTCCTTAAAGAAGACTTTTTACAAAATTAAATAATGCCACTTGAGGAGTTCTGGAAAGAGCATATTGACAGATAAAGCAGATTTNTCTAAACTCAAGTTAATGATTCACTGTTTACTAAATGAATCAGATTAATTGTTTCAGCCCTATTTTCAATATATTCAACCATTCTTTTGTTTAATTCAGCAGTGGAGTTCCTCTGTCAGGCTTAGTTGACTCTGTCACTGCAAAGAAGACCTAAAGCTTAGCCTTCCTACCACCACGCTGTGTAGCTGAAAAACAGTGCTGCTATGCTGTCTCCTTGAGCCCCAATCACCCTCAGCAGATGACCGCTCACACTGAGCCTGGTTCTGCTGGAGGTTTCTTGCTGTTAAAAGGGAGTTTTACCTCTCCACTGTCGCTACAAGCATGCTTGGTGTGAGGGATTGCCTGCAATTTAAGGAATTGGTGAAATCAACTGGTTTTCCTTAGATAGAAACTTTTAACCAATCTCTGTAAAGTGCCTTGAGATGACATGTTGTGACTTGGCCCTATACAAATAAATTGAATTGAATTGATTCATTTCGATACGTTCTGCTTATCTGGGATGGATGGATGGATGGATGGATGGATGGATGGATGGATGGATGGATGGATGGATGGATGGATGGATGGATGGATGGATGGATGGCATTTCAATAAGCATTTATCAACTAGCAAGCTGGAAGGCTAAGCAGGTATGTTGCATGAAAGAGCTCTTTTGTATCCCGTTAATATCCTCATACAGCATATTATTTCACAGTGAAACATAACTTCTTGTGATGTCTTCTACCTTGAGGATTTGTAAATGTTTTAAATGTTTCAAGTAAGCATATAATTTATGTGCTGTTGAATGGCGCTTCTAACTTGCAGCTAAATATAATCTCTCCTGTATGCTGAGCTGCAGAAATTTAACTGTATAATGATTAAATCTCAAGAATCTCATTATCAAAATAAATTCTACTGACAGAATCAGTTTTTGCTCTTTGAGTTCTTGCAACATGGTAATGGAAAAGGTTAAAAGCCAAGCATGCAGTTTAAAAGGTTAAAGCTGAGGTTAGAAGGTCAGCATATGAATCCTATGAATGTTTTCCTTTATAAATTGCTTTGATTGTAAAAATTTTATGTATTTAGCTCTTTACCCCTTATGTATGTGTGAAGGTGCATCAGTAGGAGTTCCTGAGTGTATTTTCACAGCTGCAGGAGCTCTAGCTGGCTGACCAGGCAGTGCCACACCCTCAGTCTTGCTGACCCAGCTACCAGTTCACCCAACTCAGCTAATATTGCTGCTTTTCTACCCCATCATGTTTCTCCTTGGTGCCAACTACACTATCAGTTCATCGGTGTTAGAGAATAAGGTGTGGACGTGTTTGTGCAAGTTAAATCCAGGTTACTCACCTAATAATAACATTAAACCAATAGATTCTCTTTTTACTATTTGTTGTTTCAGTGGTTTTGTTTCCAGTTGCTGCTTTTCTAATACTGTTTGAAGGTTTCTCCAAAACCTGTCCATCTTTAAATGTGGCAGAAACAAGCCTTTCTAATGATTGAAGCTCCAAGATTTCCCTCCCCAAACTGGCAGCTATGGCCACAGCTCATGTCTGGGTGTGGTGCGCTGTGTGGGTTAGACTTTTTGAGAGGAATTAGATACTTTAAGGCTTTTCACCAGTCCCTGAACTTTTAATTTATAAAGAAACAATCTGGTGACTGTGGAGGCTGTTGCAGTACAGTGAACTCATTGTAAGGTTCAAGAAAGCCATTTTAAATTTTAATTGGAGACATGCTGCAATATTGTGCTAGAAGCAGCTTTAGACTATGGGGACAGTGTGGTCATAAAGGTCATAAAGAGGATCAAGTACGCAACAATACCCAGGCTGCAACGTTATGTTATAGTTCGCCCCTTTAGAGTTCTTTTTGAGTTTCTTTTTGAGTTTTCAGTTATTCATATCATTCTGTTTTCTTGGTCATCGGTTATTTTCTGTTTTGTGATTATTCCTTTTCATTTGTTAATTAGTTGATTAGTTGTTTTCTAGTTGTAAAGTAGTGTTGTAAGTGTAGTAAGTAGTGTTGTGTTTTTTGTGTTGCCCCCTTGTGCCAGTCTCCTTTCCCCTAGTTTCTAGTTGCTTATATCTACACCTGCTTCCTGTTAGCTGATTATCCCAGTCTTTGTTCAGTCCCCCATATATACAGCTCCTGTACAGTTCCTCAGTGCTTGTTTTCACATCATTACTTTGCTCCTCATGTGTGTTTATCCCTGGCGTCCCCTGGTTTTTGTTTTTTCTGTATTTTGTTCCTGTATTTGTGTTTCTGTTGCCATTTGCATTAACTCCGCAAGAACTCATCTCTGTGTTTGGGTCCACAACCAAATCCACCACCTTTTTAACAAGTTAAAATACCAACTGGTTTGTACCAAAGGGCCATAAATAGAACTGTTTGCAGATAAACTTTCCATTTTGGGATTAGGATAACTTTCAATCATGTTAAAAAAGCATAAAAGTGATGTTCTCAGTTAAAAATGTGATATCTTTAAAAATACAATTAGTTTTTCTGAAGGGAAAGGCCTTCAGTTAAGGGTAATCAGACTGGAAAAAAGGGCGTAGAGACAAGGGGAATTGAATATTGAAGATCCAACCGCCTACAGCTGCATTGAGGACTACACCTTTGCACACAGTGGAACTGCCCCACAGAAATAATTATGAAGTTTGGTCAGATATTATATTTTTAAGCAATAATTAAATATCATGTTAGACTCATACCAAGGTATGAGGAAGGATTGTATTGGAGGAAAAAACATGTTCCTCTGTTACACTTTACACTTTAAGAGAAAAAGAAACCCTACAATGTGTTATAAACTTTTTTTTAAGCACATGCAATGTAATATGGTCATGGATAAATAAAGGTTTGGATGATATGTCTTATCTTTCCCCACTGTTTGGTCATAAAGGGGACTTTTCTATCATGACTTAAGTCCTACAGGAGTTATTTAAATACTCTGAGCTATTCTGTGAAAAAAACTAATGACAGAATGTTGTTAGAGGAAACAAACGCCAATAACAGCTCTAAAATAGGCAGTGATAAATGTGGATCAACAAGTCATTGACTGCTTCTTCTTTTTTTTATGTCTGTACTATGTTTAAAAATAAAACCCCCTAAAAATCTTGATTTCCTGTCTCCTCTGTTGTTATGCCATCTTTGTTTTTTTTCCCTGTTAACAGTCACTGTCTACCTTTATATGACAGGCGTATACAGCATGCATAAAAGAAGGACAACTATGTCACATAAAAAAATGCAGAAACCTCCAATTATTTTCAGTCATATGTTCTGTGTTTTAGAAGAATGTTCTAAGAACAGTAACTAACAGGCCTACCAGGCGACTTTGATGGCGGATGCAGTACGTGTCTCCCGTCCCTCTTGTCGGCTGATGTTCTTGGCAGCGTCCACCACCTCCTGTGTGGTCTGGTAGTCCTTCAGAGACCACTCATGGACTACTATTTCTGCATACTGCAGTATACCAACCTGGATGAAACACGCAAACAAACAAGCATTTCAGAAATGGTGAATATTCACGTCTGTACCTGCACATATCTGGGCACAAAATCCTCTAAGTCTCATGTTTTCTGAAGTGAAATATCTCTTTAAGCACAAACTCAGGCCTTAAAGCAAGCAGTACACTTGGGGAATTTTTGAATTCATTCAAAAACCAGAGGTATTTCCTTTTCACCTCATGCTGCCTGCTACCCAATACCCCCCACCCTCCCTTTTCATAGCTCAAACCCCACTCACTCTTCTTGTTATTCAGTTCAAGTAATGTCCCTACAATGCTCTCTCTCTGATTTTTTTTTTTCTTCTAAAGAAACATTTTAGGGTTCTTGTCCTCTGACGTTATTGCAGTAGTTCATTCTGGTCATATTTGCCAAACTACCTCCAAATTTTACTTGGTTATGTTTTTGAGCATTTCACTCAAAAACATGCTTGTGTTCCTGCTCCTGGCAACAAGAGGCGGTTCTCTGAGATCTAAATGTTATTTTACTTAAACTCAAACCCACAAGTTTCCATTACGAATGTGTATCATAATTACAGGCGGTTGCAACGGGTAAGCTCTAGTGAGGAGTGTGTACCTGCATCTGGTCCAAGCTAATGTGGAACTTGCTGAGGATGTTGCTGAGGAAGTTCTGGACCTCGGACCAGGGGTAGATGCTGTTTGAGCCGTCCACAACAATCACAATGTCCATGAAGGTCTGACACTCTGTTGTACAAGAAAAATTTTCACATACACCTTGAACTTGTTTTATTTATAACATTGCAATGACTAACTTCAAAGTATTTTATTGGGATTTTATGAGAAATAAAACCACAAAAAGTGAAACTGACATGTTTTGAACATTTCTTTTTCAGCTAAAAAATCAGTGAAGGGTGGTAGGCCTATATATTTAGCCCACTTAAAGTCTTATATTATGCTCTTTTAAGTCTTTTAGTCACCTTTAGGGAAGTACATGATGAAATAATGCCTTTGGAATTATTAGAGATCGAGACACTGACAATGACTTTGCAGCAGTAATAACAGCCTAAACAAGCTCATCCTGAATGAAACACACATGACTTATAGGTGTTTTTGTCTAAGGCTATGTTCAAACTAAAGGCCTTAATTCTCAGTTCTATTTTTTTTTTGTGTGAAATCTATTTGTTTTTGCGTTGCAGTTCAGATTTACAAATATATGCGACTTGTATGTGATCTCCCGTGCAAACTGCATTCATACAACACAAGAGCCCCGCATGCACAGCTTAGGACTCAATAACATCACAAGCAAGTGTTATCTGTGTTAACGGAAGTAAACATGGTTGGTAGTGCTGGTGCACATCCAGCAATCTTTCCTAACCTTAAAAACTCAATCTTTTCAAGATGGTTAAAAATAAAGACTGCTCTCTCTGTTATCGTCCATCATGGTTGTTATTTTTCCTCCCTGCTTCTGGTATCAAGACACAGAATAGTGGCCTTTGTTGAGTATTAATGATGTTCAGGTCGGATGAATGCAACCTGGCCGTTCAGACACAGGTCGCATTTAAAACTATCAGATTTGTATCGGATTCAAGACCACATAGCCAAGTGGCCTGGGTCGCATTGGAAAAAAATTAGATCTGTGTTGTTCAAACTGTCATGAAAAGATCAGATCCAGGTCGCATATGGGCACACAAATTGGATTTGGGCCAATTTAGGCTGTGGTGTGAACGTAGCCTAATAGGAGTAACGATCTTCGTGCGCATGGCTCTTTAAAAGCTGCTGTTTAATTGCAAAAAAACAAAAAGCTAAACCAAATTTCTCAAAATCAAAATAATAGTAAAACAAAAAGGAATGGGGATGTCTAAAGGTAACCAGCTGCACTTGATTTGGGTATTTTTTTCTATTTTTTTTTTTTACTTTACAATTATGTACAGTTTTTGATATAAAATCAACATAAAATATGTTGAAATTTGTGGTTGAAATAAGACAAAAATAGCCCAAATTACTTTGCTCAGTTGGAGCGATGGTTTTTCTCGGTTCCAGGTCATCACCAACAGAGGCGCAGATGCCGGTGCTGAACATTGATGTCCCACACTCCTGGGACCACAGAGGGGCACACGCCTGCCAAACAGAAGCACATACTCATGAACAAACATGTGAATCATCATATGTATCACAGGTGGGTGGATTTCAGACGTGTTTGCGGTTAGTGCAAGATGTTAGGTATCTGCGTTCTGCTCTGAAGATGTAGTAACTAGATGGTCATCAAATCATTTGGGCAAATGTGTCTGTGTGACACATTTATATTGACAGAAAAGAAAAACAGCAGGCAAAAATAAAACTAAACAAGTCATAAAAGGGAGTAAGTCACGGAAAGAAGCACAATCGTGTGGTTTATGGGACAGAAAATAAGGCAGTGGCGGGGGTGGGGGGTAGCTGGGGTCTATTGTTGACAAGCTGGCAGTCACTGCTGTCATGAGCGGTTTAACAGAGCTGGAAACCAAGAGAAGCAAAGCAATTTAAATCTGATTGTGCTAAATGTGGAGTGGCTTAATGTGGGGGGTGGTCTTATAAAAATGTTTCTGTTTTCAAAAGCCAGTTCTTTGGTTTTCATACTTGAAGAAAGAATGACGGCAGAACAAGGACTTAAAAGGGAAAATCTGCTGTAAAGTAACAAAAGGAGGGAGGGGTGAATAAGGGATGAAAAGAGGGTAAAATGAGAGAAAGAGAAACATCCTGGTTTCCCTTGCCCTGTCATTAACGATGGGTTTCTCCTCAGGCACACAGACAGGCAGCAGGGAAGAGATGGAGAGAATCATGGCATTAAACCACGAAGGGAGAAGATGGAGCGAAGCGAAAGAGGTGCTATGGCTTTTGGTAGGTCTGTCATTACAGAAGGGCCGGAGACGCATTCCAGTCCTGTTATAGACCTGACCACTGGGGTTGACATAAAAACTCTCAGACACACACACACACACACACTTAAACATATGCTCTCACTAAAGCTGCCTGAGCTGGCAGCCGTTTGTGAACTGTACACGACTCCACACCCGGAGTAGAGCAAAAATCCTGGCAGAAAACACAAGCACACACAACCGCTGACTGGCTGAAGCAGAAATGTGTTTTACTGCAGAAATCAGGCCAAGAGAGCAACAATGAGACATAAAGCTGTTATTATCAGAGCTTTAAAGTTAAGCTTAAACTGGAGAAAGGCCTGTTTATCTCACTCTGACCATCAGGGAGTGTAACAGAAGCTAAACTTAATCTGCTCTTCTCCTGGCTCCAGTTTTTTGGAGCTAACAACTAAAGCTGTTAGTTCATCTATGCTGTAAATAAATATTTTTCTTCATAAAATATTTCAGTATTTTTCAACGGTATTGGCTTTATATTTAATGTGTCTTACGATTGTATCTGTAAAAGTTAACCATACTTGAGAATTAGAAGAAAAGGTATGGTTTGACTAAAATGTTTATATTGAACTGTTGAACATATCGGAGCAACTAAAAAAAAAAACATTGCATCTTACTGCAATCACAGCTGCCAGTCTTTCATCGTGTGTCTTTATCAGCTTTGAATATCTGAAAAAATGCTATTTATGATCTATTGTTGTTCCAACCTACAGCCAAATTGGTCAGCTGGATAGAGTGCACGCCTTTAATCTAAAATGCTTCAGTCTTTCCATTGATTATCATTTGTACATCGGTCTGTTCATTGACTACATTATTGCAGCAGGAAAATTATGTTTTGAACTAAAACATTCCATCAGGAATTTTGGGTTGTATGCTAAAATCTTCCATATTAAGACAATAAAAGACCTGAAATATTTCAGTTAGTGTGCAATGAATCTAAAATCTATGAATTTTCAAGTTTTATGATTACATCATGGAAAATAATGAACTTTATCACAATATTCTAATATTTTGAGAAGGACCTGTATAACCCTCATGCCCGCTGGCTTACAGTACACAGTTTGGTTTTAGCCAATCTCAGTAACAAATGAAATAGCAGCAGATATTTTGAGAAACCTCAACAACATGCACTTTTACATCATTGTAGTTCCTCAAAGATGTAGGCTATTATTGGAATCTGAGCGGGTGTGATATTAGCAGCCACATGTACGCCCTCCTGTTCTGCCCTGTTTATTTTGGTTTAGCTCTTGGCTCAGCAGCTCTTACTTTCATCACATCTATATTTACCACCTTAAACCATGATATTTGCAGATCTGTTTTGTGTTAATCTTAAACTGTTGAAGCGCTACTAGATGGGTTCTAATGTGTGAATGTACAAATATAATGAGAACTAACCTGCAGGCCAGGCTATCGTTATGCTGTCAACACACTCCCTCACCACCTCTCTCTGTATGCAGAGAGAAGGGTGTTCAGCCTTCCATAATCTACTACAACCTCCTTCAGTCAAAGGTTGTTCCTGGAGCATCACTGTGTCAGATCGTGGACGATTTCTCTGTCGTGGGTCAAATAACCATTGGTGTCTTTTGCAAACTTTACAGGCCTGTGTGAAGTACTAGTGAGAACTTCCGGCTGTTTCTGCCAGCTGGGATTAAGTTACTGATGTACTTCACAAAGGATCCTCTGCACAGAGAGGTTAAAAATGTCCAGAAAAAACAAAAACTGCAAGTCAGTTAGCATCTGACCTGACACCATGTCTGGACCTGCTGCCTTGATGGTGTTAATGTGTCATATGATGGCTGTGTAAAGGTGCAGCTGCAGGATGAGAGACTAATGCAGCACCTCAGGCTAATAGGGATGTTCGGTCTCTCTGCAGCTTGAAAAATCAAACCTTGAGAAGATGCTGCCATTTCCTAAGTATCCCTTACTTTGTTTTGGTTTATTGCATATATCTCCAATAAATGCTTAATGTTTGTGGATGTAAATATACAGTGAAACAGCTCTAGTTTTGCAATGCAGGCAAAAAGAATAACCATCAGGTTTTATCAACTATCATCATATTTTTAAAAGTAGATAACTTTTTTTAATTAACTTTGAAATAACTAAACAAACCGCTATAGCTGCTGCCTGTTTTATACTGTGTATCTTTCTCTTCATACTTGAAGGTTGTCATTATCTGTCTTCATCAAACTTGCTTATTTTCCCAGCAGAGAGCTTTGTTTTCTAAATGTACGTTTGCTTAAGGGTTCCTCGTGTTTAAACATTAGGAGGCTCCGCTTTGGGTTTTCCAGTTTATATAGTGATAACTAGTTCCAAATTTTAAATAGAAAAACTTTCCTTATTGAATAAATGCTCTTTTCACAGTGCACTGTCTTTGAATACACAGTGAAACATCTTTTCATTAAAACTGTCCATTTGTTTGCTGCTTGGAGGTAGCTGTAGCAAACTGTTTTATATTGATTTTAGTCTGAATCTGCTCTCAGCCGTCCGCTGGTTGGGGCAGAATGTTACCTGTCCTGAAACTGCTTCTGAGCCATTCAGAGTCAAAATTGTCCTCACTTTGTGTGCAAAAACAAGGGATCTGACCTTGATTTCACATATATCAACATTACTAGAACTTTTAAGAAAGGAAATCCACTGAGATATTACCACAGATGGTCCTCTTGGAACTTTTTTCTTCAAATTCATTTTAATTTTGTGCTATTCTGCTTTGTTTTACTCCTATACTGCAGTCTCTTTTACAATAGACCTACTCTTCAGCATTGCAAAGTCATTTCTGGGCATTTCCTCTCTGGTCTTCATTAAACCAGGGAGTTTTTTCAAGATCGTGGTTGGAAGCATGTCAGCTCTCTGGGATTTACCAGAGATGTAGACAAGGTAAACAGGCAGGGAAGCCGGTCTAATGCTGCCAGTTGTGGCAGAAAACTTCGATCCCATCTACCAACATAGCTTACTGTCCGTTCTCTGGTGATCAAAATAGATGTAAAGCTTCTCTCAAAGAAAACCACGGGCAATAACTATATCAGTTCTTTCATTAAAATCTTTTGAAATATTTTTGTTTCCATCGTTATATTCTCAGTTGCCATTGGGTCTTGGAAAACCTTCTACTTTTACTTGACTTTTGATATACGGTAACAATGTTTAGCTGTAAAATTCCTGTCATCCCTATATGACCTTTCTTAGTATATAGAGCTAAAAACATAATGTATATAGACACAAAACAGGCTTCTATTCAAGCAAACAAATTTGTATATTTTATTGAAGTATTAAAGGAGCACACAGATTATTAAAAAAAGAAGGGAATACATGTCTAATTAGAGAGCCAACTTACCAAAAATCCATCAGGTGAGTCTGGTGTGAGGGTCATTCCAAGATGAGAATTCCTCAGGTTTTTAGAAACGTTACGCAGAGCAGTTTCACCTAAAACAGACAAAGATTACATTAACATCTGGCCATAATCTTTAATATTGATGCTTTAATCATTTTATTTAGGTTCTTTTTTCTCTTACCAAGGTTTACTTTACTACAGTTTGAGTTTTTTTCCTCCCCTACCACACATTTGTACACATCTCCTTTCCTGTTGTTGGGTGGCCCATCCCAGGGTGCACCAACAAGCATCCTGCAGAAGCATGACCCAGTTATCATCAAAACACCCTACTTTACTGAAATGCTCTTATCTTTACCTCCTCTCACACAAATACGTACAGTTTCTCTCCTTCTGCTTCATGCTGAAGGACAGAGAAGCCAAACTGGGTGTCCTCGGGACCGGTGAAGACACGAGGATGTTTGACATCTATGTTGAAACATTGACAAAACCCTGGAAGACACAGCAAACAAAGGATGCAAAGGTTAAAGGCTGCAACTAACTATCATTTTGAAAATCAATTAATCTTTTGATTATTTTTTTCAGTTAACCGATTAATAATTAGATAGCCAAAGGTTCCTTAAAGAATTCTTTTTTTTTTTTATGAAGTCAGGTGAAAAAAACTTTTTCACTTGAGGAGTTCTGGGTAGAGCTTATTGACAGACCTTTTTTTTATATCTTAAATGCAAAATGTTAATACGTTTCTTTACAATTGTGATATAATTACTGCTCAAAGTGGGTGGCTTTGTCGCTAAATGCATGTTTTAGAGTCTCCATAATCCTGTTAACCATTAATTGATTACTAAATTGGTTGACAATTATTTCAATAACTGATTAATTACATTTAGTCTGATTAATTGTTTCAGCCCTAGTTAAATGTTACAATCTGAAACAAAATGATAAGAAACACATTAAGATGGGAGCATATCACCCCTGTTTTATCTTCCTGCATTGGATTCCTGTTCATTTTAGAATAAAAATTTCAATGTTTGTTTTTAGAGCTTTCCCTGTACAGGAGTAAAAATTAAAACACTGGGGTGACAGGTCTTTCCCAGTGGTGTAATGTTCCACTAGATCTTCGCTTCACCTTCAACCAGGGTTCCTTTAAATCTAAACTCAAGACGAATGTGAATCTCTAATTCTTGTATTGTACTGGCATTGTATTTTCACTCTGAAGGGCTTTAGTCACCTTAACCTGTTGTCAAGCATTATATAAATCAATCAGTCAATCATCTTTTCGGAGTGGGAATGTTAACTTACCCTTTACTTTAAAAATAACCCTAAAATTAGAGCAAAACATCCAAAACATGGTTGAACATATTGTTTATTTTCTCGTCATTTTGTTTTATTTGCAGAGATTTGAAAGACGGGAAAGAAGAGGTATGTAAAGATGAATAGAGAAATTGAAAACGGGGATTCAGATAAAGAAGAAGTTCAGTCGAGGGAAAAGAGGCGCAGGAGAGAAGCAAAGCAGGGAAGGGTGTGGACTAGAAAAACCAAGAAGCATAGTAAGCTCCCTGTTATGACACACAAGCCTGCCCTTCATAGATGGTGGGGGATAGAGAGCAGCAGGATGGACGGCAAACCACCGAGCTGTTACACATAAACCAAAGCACAGTTGCTGAAATTACAGTTTGAAAAGTTTACATCTCATGATATTCATGGTGGATATCACCTCCAACCCCACAGAATCATATGTGCTGCATTTTGTCGATGGCTGCTAATTCAGCTTCAAGTTTAAAGATCCGAGATAAGTTATATTCAAACATATAGCTCAATATCTCTGGATTTATTTCTTAATTTCAAACTTTAAATTTCCCAAACCGACATTGGTCTATTAACTGAGTTGAGATATAACTGTTTTATACATAAATTTTCTGGCTTTTTGGAGAAATCTTACTCTACATTTATAGGTATAAGATGATCAATATCATCCATCATTAACATCTACTAACATCTAAAGTCAGAGTTGTTCTGCAGTGCGAGCCCTATTACATGGAACAATGAATGGTATTTTACTTTGATCAGTTCTTATGCAGCATAACATTAAATATATATATTTAATCAAAGGATATTTTTTAGGCACTGACATTTTTTTCACAGTGGGGTTTTCATCCACTTACATGATCAAACCAGAGTTTTTGAATCCATTTATTTTATAAATTGTAAGAGATCACTGCCGTAACTGTTAACTTAAACATATTTTAAAGTGAAATTTTGTCTGAATAAAAAGCAGTTTTTGAGATGCAGTTAGCCTGTTGTTTTAAATTTCAACAGCAAGAAAAAATGCAAGAAAAAAAAACATCCTGCTGTGCTATTTCCTTGCTTTACAAGGAGAAAACAGGGAAAGCAAAAGAAAGAAAATGATCCTCTCATTCAGTGAACAATATTTAAATGGTGCTCATTCTTCACACAGATGTGCAAAATATGCAACACGTGCAAATACAACAATGGTCAAATAAATCAAATGTTTAGCACATAATTCTTCACACTCCATGTACTTATCATCAAATCTGACAAATTTCAACAGTTAATCTTTCTTGAAAGTATGGGGGAGGTAAAAACATCTCTTAGTATCTCTATACCAAACCTGTTTCTCTTTGCTATGGTGGGATGTTGTTTTTGCAATTTAACCAAAAGCATCTGTATTTTACCTTTAAAAACTGTGTAGTGAACAGATTTGCAATCCATCACAACTGAGTGCACATTACCTTCTGCACTGGTGGGTATGTTTTGCACCAGCATGTCACTGTTGCTGTTTACCTTGCAAATGGCCCACTAAGGGAGAAGATGTGCCCTGATGCACACAGAAAAAGGCCAATAATCAGAAACGGTAGATAGATACTTTAAACCTGAACTCCAGAAGCTCCTATGGCTAATGCCTTAATGTAGATTTCATTTTCAGGGGATTTTATGTGATAGGAAAATAAAGGTACATTGAAATTATAGGGGGAAAAAAGGCTAAGATTTTGACTTCAAAAATATGATTTTTTTTATTGTATTCAGTTTGCTTTGTCCCTGAATTCCTGAATTAAATCAAGTGAAATAAATATATATACAGAAAGCAGTAACTACTGCGTACCTGTGTGTAAATTGATGTGTGTATAAATCCGCTATAGTTTGAAAGCGTAAGAGGTTTGTTAAAGAGCCTTCAGTAATCAACCAACATCATGGAGACTAGATGGACCAGGGAGATGTTATAGAGATGCTACAGGAAGAGTTTGGTTATGAAACTATATCCAAGGATAAAAATCACTGCCTGAGCACTGCTTTATCTGTCATCTGAAAATAAGGAGTATGAAGCAGCTGCAAACCTACAAAGACAAAGCTATTCACCAAAACGTACAAGCTAGAAAAAGGACAAGAGCAGAGATCCTCCAAGAGGTTTATAGGAACCCTGGAGGAGATGCAGAGATCTAGACCAGGTGGGGAAATCTAGTGCCAGGGCAACTAGCAGCTCCTTAAAGAAAACAACAGTTTTGGACTTCTGTTTTGTGCTGCAATACAAACTGTATACCAAATATATTGTATACATATACTTTACCAAATATATTGTATATATACTGTACCAAGTATACTTTATATATACTGTACAAAATATCCGGATGGAAACTGCACAGTAGAAGTTTGTAAAATTTAAAATCTGTTGAAGAAAACCCACTTATGTTGCTTGTATATCATCTGTAGCTGTCATTCCTTTTAATTTCTTCATAAACATTTTCTACCAAAATGAACTGCTTCACAGAAAAATTATCTTAAACTCAACCTCCAGATAAAACCCTCCTCCAATCTTGACACTTGATAATTTACTCCAAAAATTTAGCTCCAAAAAAAAAAAAGTTAGTGTTAAAAGCTTCTATAAAAAAACATAAGAAATCTTTCTAAATACAATTGACCTCACTTGCAATTTTGCAAACTTTCAGGTTAATTTGCAGAAACTCCCTCAGTCTCAGCCTGTTATTTGAACTGGGAACATGACTGGATTGTGTGAGAGTACACAACATTTTGCGGTAATATCCTGCAAAAACGCACATTATCCTTGTCCAGGACAATCAGGGGGAGTCCACTTGGTTCAGAGGGGGAAACTGGATACATTCAGTGTGTTTCTTCCATTTCTGCTTTTCTCACAGACCTCAGTTTCTTCCACCTACTTGCAGATGCCCTGTCTGGTATTATCATTGAGCTTGAAACATTCTTCTCTGTTTTGTGTTCAGATTTGCTCATTGGGGACTCGTAGCTAGAAAGATCTGTAGATTTATCCAAGAAAACAACATGCAAGTAGTGGAAAAGATTCCTCAGGTAATTCTGGTTCTGTTGCTTTAATCAGTTTAATCAGATGGATGAACATGATGTCTCTTCACGCCATACTTTTCCCACAAGTCAAGCTGTTTTGACTGTAACTGTATCTAATGTCTACAGCTTCTACAATACAGCTTGAATCTCAGTCAAACACCTGCAGTCATTTAAGATTTCCGGTAGTTTTCTTTTTTGTGTTCCAAATGCACAACTGTGTTTTAAGTTAGTGGGAAATTTGAAAAAATGTGAATTAAATTAAAAAAAAAAAAAACGAAGTGTAGAAGCCTCCTGGATTTACACAGCTGAGCCGAATAAATCATACGTGACTGGTGATAATATTAATGTCTTCATTTTAATCTGACATAAAAACATCCACCCTCCAATGTTTTCCTTCTGCTGAAATGTTGGTCTTGTTTTATATGTGCCTTTCTTGTGCGGAGGTGTTTTTTTGATATCTCAAACTGAAACCTGAAGTTGA